GGCTTTTTGGGCGTTTTGTATGGAACTTATTTTCACTGATTTTTGATGAATTTAATGTGAAATAAAGGAAAAAAAGTATATTCGCTGGATTTTATTTTCACGGAATCATCCATTCAGCGAAAATAGCGAAAATAAATTCCAAGCGAAAATAATGTATTCTACAGTAGTTGTTTTCAAATTCAGCCATATTATTTAAAAAAAAATGTAATGGCTCTTACATCAGACAAGGCATTCATAGTTTTGCTATACATGTATTGTATTTATGTACCTGTATTGTTTTCCAATGAACATCTACTTCCTGAATTTTTTTTCCCCCAACTTTGATTTTGTTGGAAAACAGTGAGTTATTTTATTTTGTTTATTGACTAATCAGATTCAACTTGAAGACAAAACAACAGAGCACAGCTGAATTTTGTTTTGTGTTTACAATCCGATAAAGGATGGCTGACTGGTGGCCATTTTGTATTTCAGCAATGTATACACACACATGTATTGATTTATTTGTGTCTAGGCACAAAGACAATACATAGATGTATTTTGAAATAATATCAGAGATGGCAGACATGACCGACAGCATTGTCAGTGCCTGTTTGTCATTTGATGTAATTACTTGTAAATGTAATCTAAAAGTCTATTCCTTAGTGATCAACTAAGAGAATTTACCATTACGATGAATCAATCAAACTGATGTTTGAGTCATCTCAGGAACTGAACTGATTTCTTTAAACAAATACTCATTAAAGGTAAAGATTTATGGTACAATGTAATTATAATTTTGGTAAATTCTCAAATTTTGAGTTATAATGCTTACTGCATGCAATTGCTTTTAGGGAGGTTCGATCACACCATCAGAATATCAAAAATGGGAAAAACAATTGGGTTATCGAATGATATTTTGAGTTACAAGCATCCAAAATATCATGGAAAATGAGATATTATAATTTTTACACTGGTTTCTATGATGGGATTATTTATTCATATCTCAAAATTTTGCTCCATACATGAAAAAATTGTATATTATTATTGATATGAAATCTAACATTGTGAAATCATTTCAAAAAATTGGCATATACCTGGTAATATTAATTGCGAGTATCCAGGGTGATGTATACTTGCATACAGTCTCTTGTTTAATTTTTTTTTTTTTTTTCAATAAAATATGGGAGTGTATAGATGGCAAAAGAATGTATCTCAAAAATAGATGAGACTGTAAGCAAGTTTGCATATTTGTGTAGTGTAACAGTGTTAAAGTGTTACAGAGCTATACCTACAGTGGTGATTTTTATATGAAGACTATCTGCTTAAATTGACCCATGACCATCATTTTGGTCAAATAAACCTTTGCACAAAGGCCAAAATCATAAAAGATGATTCTGTCTACACGGTACACCCAAATTTTAAATTTCATTAAAACATATTTATTTTTATTTTTCAAATATCTGTTCACAAATTGTTCCTTAAATTGTCATAATTTTATTCATGATTTAATTTGCATTCAAAGGGTTTAATACTAAACCAATGATGACATTTGGCAGGATGTTGCACAAAACTTTATCCACGCTTTTTATGGAACAAGGAGATGAATGATGACAAAATTTCGCATTGAAATCAGAAGCAAAAATTTAGTAAAAACCTTCCTAATCACTGATCGAACAAGACATAATCTAAAATTGGATTATCAACTTGAGATTACCACCTCTATCGTATACATAAAATCACTGCAAAAAGGAAGCCTAATCGCTCTATCTGTTGTATTGAATGACTGGATGTCTCTTTGTACCCATTTTTACTGTTCTAGCTAATCTACTTTTAATGGTGTAACCATAGAAACTCGGCAAGAATTGTTATAGTCGAAACTCGAAGGTTAATACTGCCAACAAAGATTTGTGGGCTTGTCTATCTATGTTGAATATACAATCTTTAATATAAAACGTTCACAGAACAAGCTTTTCTTAAAAAATGATTTTGCGCTGACAGATTCTGAATCTGTTGTTTATGAGTTCTATGCGGAAGAGTAAAATAATTCCGAGTCATTCAAGATGAAAAAGGTTACCATGGAATTTAGTCTTTTACATGATCTGCAAACTCAGAATATGTTGCCTTTTAGTTTTAATGTTTATTGCCCCAGGTCTCTTGTCCTTTCAGTCAAGTAAAATAATCTTTTTCACTAATTGCTATCAGCTTGGATGACATTAAAATTTGTTGTATTCATAAAATCTCATTTAGTGCTATACTTTCAATGTTAGACTACAGTACTGCCTTTCATAATGATTTTCTGACTCTAGAGGGCAGTATGCTATTGTTAGACAATTCGAGTTTCTTTGCTGTTTAATTCATGTACATGTGCCCAATTATTGTCTCCTTCAACTCACATCTACAACAGTTGTTTTATTCACATTTTTTCTAATTCTTTTACGCTATCCAGTCATGCTAACTTGCCCTTGACCCATAGCAAATTTAGCTTAAAAATGGAAAACCCCTTATTCTCTACAACAAATTGTTCTTTATCATGCATTATTCCTTAAATATGTATGCATGACCCCTAAAGGTCACACATCCTGGTACTTTTGGGGGTATTGTTATATGCCAATAATTTCCAATACTATTCGTCAATTGTTTTTGAACTTCAATGACAACCGCTTGAATTTGTTAAAAATATAATTGACAAATTCTGATTTACAGGGAAAATTATACTCCAAGAAATACAGGAAGAGTGATCTGTTTTGGGTTGTGCATAAGGCCTGTTATTTTCATATTGCTATTGTATTGCGCGACACTCCATTATGGTGCACTCGATCACACTCTTGGTGATAACTGGAGTTAAGGTGCCATAGTTTTCTGTCATATCACTAACACGCCTCGCTGTTATGCTTGCTTTCCATGCATACCTCACCTTGTCTATCACAGGAATGGTTTGTTTGAGAGAATTTATGATCCACTCGCACTGACACCTCTTGAACTCTACGATTACCATAGAGATGGGTTTTTTGAAAGGTAGCCATCTTGTTTTCCTCCTGAATATGTAGATGTGCTATTAATATTTATTGTTGATTTCTATCTCGGTCACATCTCATGCTGGCAATTTCATACTTTTTTATGATTATCTAGAAATCAGCTTTTTTCACAAACTGTAACATAATTTTGCATCCTTTTTTTAGCTTCTCATTTCTATTTTCTTGTTATAGATGTAATTTCTAAAGTTGGTCACATGCTTTTTTTAATCAATTACATTTTTTCCAGTTTAAATTTGTTTCCTTTTAGTAGTGCACGAGTGGTCGTCCAACATTTCTTGTGTTGCTGTGATATTAAACCCTAGTCGTTCCTTGCCTGCCTGCCTGCCTGCCTGCGTTAGTTGTTTTTGTAGTATTATGTTTATGTCAAGTGATGATTTCACTCACTGTCAATTGTGTGACTGTTTTGTATGTATATTACTAACAACATACATCAAGATATATAAATGATAAAGGTGTGCAACTTGAATGCAAATTTTATCAAAATGACCCGAAATATCGAAATTGTAAAAAATTTTTTTAGTGATAAGACAATGAATCCCTCTGTATCTTGATTTCGTCCACCTGAATGAAAAGTATACACCAGACAATTTTGTTTTTTATAAATTATGTCATATTGTCCACGCACAAGGTGTATTACTCTCATTGTTAATTCCATTGAAGTTGTATATCCTTATCTTATCTGCTTTTGATTATAAATATTTTCTAGTGATTGCTAATAACATGAGGGCGTTCATAGTGCAATTTCATGATGTTTCTGTAACTCCCTAGGACGCAAGTGAAATTCTCTGTGACTCCCTAGGAACCCAGTGAGAGTCATTTTTTACTCCTTGTGACCCCAGTGAAATTTTCTGTGACTACTCAAAGTCACCATTGAAATGTTCAGTACTACAAAATGTCCTGAATAATGAACATTTTTTTTCATGCAAAGTGGTTTTCAGTGTATTGACTACTAATGGCATGGTTGTATTAATGTTGTATATTCAGAGTTTAATGTTGTAGTTGAATGTACAGAGTTCCTAGAAATGATGTTAATGACCTGCTTGTATATTATTTCCTGCTGCTGTACTGCGTTGTCTTTTTTTACCTCTTATCTTGTGTTACATGCTGGGTTGTTGAATGAAAGCCTAGATGGTCGCCTTGGTTACCCCATCTTGTGCATCTTTACTCTTTTCACATCTTTGTCTTCAGTATGTCTGCCTCTTTTTATCTTGAAACACTTTACCGATCCAATGAGCAGTGACTTATTCAGGTGAAAACAAAATTGCCTCAAATATCTGTTGGATCTCTGTCTGTGATTGTGATCAACAAGCTGCACATCAGTACTCGCTATTTCTCAACTGTTTTTTTTTTTCTTTCATCTGATTTTTTAATGTTGGTTTAAACAAAGCAATGTATATTTATTCATTCATGATGACCTAAGAGATTTTTCAAAACAGAAAGGTTCATTCATACTTCACACATTTTTTAATTAAAACCACATTTCTTGTTAAAACTTGCCTTTTCATTGTTTCATTTTAAATTAAATAATAAAGTTTGTTGTGTTGGGTTCAATTGCTTGTTCTGATTTAAAACATTTTGAACAGGCATCCATAGCCAAAAGTGTTTTGAAATTAAACATATAATTCGTTCAGCCATTTTATCATTTTTTTCAAAATATTTATTGACCAGTCAATAATTTTTTTCACATTTAAAATTTTTTGCAGATTTCTTTTCCCTTTAGAAATTGATTTATTAGCAAGGTGTTAACTTTTTTTATTAACACTTTTTTTCTCACCATTTTCGATTAGGTTGTGTTTCAAGATTTTTTTTTAAATGAATGGAAATTCAAGGGTTCATAAACCAAGGGTCCAGCTATGCATGTTTCGATGGATGATGTAACGATCCTTGTATAATTAAGCATATAATATCTGAGCTGGCATGCTAAGTGGTTTCAGTGTATATGTGTATTGTTAATGTATTTGCATTGTGTGTATTTCTTTTGCTTAGCTACACAGATAACCCTGACCTTTATGATCCTTACCACAGACCATTTGGACCACGTGTACCCCCGACTACGCCGTCAATGCCACCAGCGAAGAGAGCAAGGCGTGAGCTAGCTCCTGTCACAAGGGCCACTGCCGTGAGAAAACTACAAGTGCAGCAAAAACAACAGTTTCAAAGCCAGAGCCAAATGCTGCAAACCCAGGTGAAAATCATCAATTTGCGATATTGTGCGGAAACGTGTGAAACTGTATGTGAGAGCATGTGATGTGTGTGTGG